TCGTCAGCTATATAAGATTTCATTTTATTTCAAAATTAACGAATGAAGTAACTTAACTGTAAGTTATAGTCCCTGTTACTAATCATTAAATACAATAAGTGAGAATTCTAATCAAGTTAAAGCTAAAAAAATTCATCATTCAGTTACTGAAAATGAATCAGGAAAATAATTTCTCTGTTTGACTTCCAGAAACTTGCTAATAACGACAGGAACTATATTTTAACAAGTGAAAACCTAATGCACAAGCCAAAACTGTTTTTCAGACTCAAATCCATAGCAATTATTTTTGATTAATAAGAGATTTATTATAAGGCATTAAGAAAATGCAAGAAGCTTGAACTACAAACTTAGTTTGGGACTTTTGTATCACTATCTATAGTAATGTACATTCAATTTCAAAAGCAAAACATGTTAAATAAAAACATCGATAATTATATTTTTGATATAATTTACTAGCATTTAACTTATTAATGTCACATGCACACTAAATGATAATTTTCAAGATAAAACTTTTTTCCTATAATTAAAAATTTGCAATTTCAGTTTTTTTATACATCAAGCAAATACAGTCAAAAGTCTGTAATCCGGACTTGTTGGGACTTCAGCAATTCCGGATTATAGATCCTCAGTTTAAATCTGGTAAGATGGCATGCAGAAATTATAAAATTAAAATATGAAACCACAATTTATGAAATAAAGAGCAATTATGATCTAAAGGGTATCAAAATTTACCAAAGCTTAATATTTATTTGTTTACTTTATTAAACATTTCTTTCAACGCGCGCATGCGTAAAGCATACATTACGCATAGACGAAATTAGAAAATTGCAACCAGAAAATTATTTGATGTGTATTCATGACATTTATAATGACAAAATATTTGATTTAAATCATATCAAAGACTGAGTACATCGAGATGAAATACTACATTTAGTAAGGATTATAAGCCAAATTAAAAAAAAAAAAAAAAACACTGTAGATAAGGATAGTGCTGACAGATCAACTTCCAGTTCATTGCGCGCCGTGACGTCCCTTCCCCAGAGCAGCATGAAATTGATAAACAGATTTTGGAATGGTTAGAGAAACAAAGAATATGCCATTATCTATTTTTTGCAGCAATTCCACTTTTTGTTTGATGGACATCGAAACATGCTCTTGCTTTGTAGATCCTTTGGCAGCTCCAGAATCGGAAATTCTTTTTAACATTATCGAAAGTTCAAGCTTACTTTTATAAAATTGCTGTAACAATCTGCAAAAAATAATAAGCTGTATCCAATTAGAAGATTAAGGAACAACGCAATCTGCAACATTAACGGAAATAGATAATTTTAGCTTAGCTTATACAGTCTGTTATACATTAAACGCACCTGCGTAAACGTATTATGCGCAGAAAGTTTGTAGCTTTGAGGTCCGGATTAAAGACTTTTGACTGCATATATATATATATTTCCTATTAAATGGCAATATATAAAATCAGAAAACATTTTTTTTTTTTTTTGTAACACACACCCATTTAGAAAATTTAAAAAATTGGTATCTGAAGACTTAAATTTTATGTTAGGTTATGTCAATTGATTAAGGCAACTTCACAGCTATCTGTTTACGGAGAGAAATTTCTTCCTGGAGGTCATTTTAAGGGGAACTGTCTTGTAGACACATTAAATTTTACACTTAATGTAATTTATTAATATTTTTAGACTAAGAACTGTGATATTTAAAGCATTAATGAGAAACTACATTTTTTATAATTATTCATGGCTTCATATTTATGTACACATATGTCCCAACTGATAAATACTTATAATTCTGACCCCCTTAGTAGGTTAAATATGTTTTTCTATCAAATGAAAAAAAAAGTAAATTATTTTTCTTTGCGCACATCACTAATTACTAAAGTTTAAAGTGCAGTACAAATAAGGGTCATTAGAAATCAGTTATTCCTTTTTCTAAAATTATGAAAATATTATAAGCAAACAAATTATAACATTAGTTGGAGAAATTTTAACATCACCTTTTTTCCAGTCCATTAATTTATAGTAATTCAATAATTAAATATACACATTAGTGAAAAGAATTTAAACTTTTACAAGAATGCAACATCAGGTTTTGTGGTAATAAAAGCATAGATGCAATAATATATGTGAATTTGTGGACAAATAGCAAATTTAATTATAAGTTGTCCAATATTTAAATCAATGCTTTATTTAAATTTTCAAATATAGTATTTAATCTAATATTTTAAATTTTCATGTTTTTATTTAAAGAATTATCTTTAATTTCAAGAGATATTAAACATATTTGATTATTTAACGCTGTAAAACGTGTAATATTTAAAACAATTCATAAATGCATTTCTAAAACAAACATGTAATATTTAAAACAATTCATAAATGCATTTCTAAAATGTTTTGATAATTTTGTAAGCAATTAAAACTGCAAAGCGCTTATCAACATTATAAACACATAAAGCTCTAATTTAAAACCACTCATGTTTAAGAGCTTCATATTACTTACATTCAATATCTTGATTTTCTTAATAAAAATTTTTATGTAGTGTGCAAAATTTGTTAAAATAACATATGTTTAGCAACTTATTCCCCCATTTTACACACATACTTTCACCCATTTTAAAAAATTCAATAATGCTTAAACTGCTTTATCTTTGTGAACATTAAGTTGCTACGTTTTTGTGTTACCTTCTTTGCAAAAGTAATTTGTTTCACAGTGCAAAAGCCCTAGAAGTTTATTTCCTGAGCTCAAATAAAATTATAAAATTTCTTCCATTAAAAGCAAAGAATAAAAACATAATTTGAAAACAAAGTTACATTAAAAATACATAACTAGATTAAATGCAGAATCAGATTTAAGTGTCAAAGTATTAAGCACAACATACAGTGAACCTTTTCATAGCAACCACATCAATGAACAGTACTTCTGGAACATAAATAGGACATCAGTGTTAAATATTACCTTTATATATGATTATCATGTCTCAGAAGACCAAAATCACTGCAGCCAAATAACCTTAGAAAGGATTCACTGTAATTTACATTTATCATAATTTATAACAAACAAAACATAAAACCTTCCTTCTTTCAGAAAACACACAAGCATATCACGATTTTTAAATGATCTGTATGTAATTTTTCAATCAGCTCCCAAGACAGCGGAAAGAGAAATGAACATACCATATATTTTCAATTCTAAGATGCATCTGTTAACTCTAAGATGCATTTCTGTTAATTTCAATAGAACCAACAGAACAAGATGGGAGGAACCTTACTTTCAATTTTTAAGAAAAAATAATAAATGAAATAAAATATTAAAATACAAGTAATATACTTTAATAATTAACTTTTGACTGATTAATAAGATTATCTAAATTAGTAATTTAAATAACCAACTACTTTGGAATAATTAGTAATTCAGAAACATCTGCAGTTCTGTGATGTACCTTATTTTAGTGATATTTATTTGGGATTTTTTTGGAAACAAGGTTGCACTTTAGAAATGAAGTAATATGGTATTACAAGGGTTCAATAACATAGTATAGGCATTTGAATTGATAATATATTGATGCATTAACAATTCTTAAGAATATTTTCCTCTGTGAAAAAAAGAAAGACTTTAAATCTGATGTTCAAGAACTTAAGACAAGAACTTATATAAATATTGAACATAACTAAAGCATGTAAATAGAAATTGTATTTCATGTTCATGAATTAATTACTTAAAAAATATAATACGCAAATCGGGCATAAAAATAGGATATTTTTCTTTTGATATTTAGCTTTGTTGTAGCATTATAAAGTACCAAAACAGAATATTCAAATGCCCTTTTTGCTAATAAAAAATATTTTTATTAATTTATAACATTATTTCTCTATAACATACTTTCCTCCCTTTTGTTTTGGCATTAGAATGAGAATTTCTTTAAACATACTTTGTTAGGTCGTAAGTTAAATACAACACGTTTATTTCAATTCTAAATGTTTTAATTTTGTTGCATCATATAACAATATCCTATCACAGGCTTCAGCAACCTATGACCGCAAGTAACCGCATGGCAATTTCATAATTTAAAAGTGACCCACTTGAATTTTGAAAATAAAGTAAAATGTGTAAAAATGTAAAAATAAATTATGAAACATAAATAAAACAAGCACTTGAAGAACACATTAAAAAAAAGTATGACATACTTTGACTAAAAATTTTCAGTTAAAAAACATTAGCATAATTTCAAGAAGAAACTGCTAAGTTTGACATCGGCCATTCTCTAATCCATAATAAAAAAAAAAAAAAAAAAAAAAAAAATTGTCATTTTGTCTGCATTCAGTTCAACTTATAAAATACGAGCAAATATTTTCTACACATGAAATTAATTTCAAGTAAGAACAGAAGCAGCTTAAGCACCTAAAATCCACATGCTTGTATTCATCTTAAGATGACTAACTATAGTCAGACTTGACTAAATTGACATTAGTTTACCATCAGGGTAGCCAATGACATCAAACACAAAAATAAACTTCATTCAGATATGTTTGCTTTTATAATAATTTAATATTTAAAGTGTATTGTAATGATTTCTCAACAAAATTTATCTTATTATTCACAAAGAAACATTGTTCTGAACTGAAAATACCACTGACCTGAAATGTCTTCTTAATAGACATATTTCGGTTGATTCTGACCCACAGCCAAAAAAGGTTGCTGCCGCCTGTCCCATAACATTGTATTTCCAGTTAACCTCTATAGTTATCAAAATTTAAGAAATTAAAAGTAAGATAAAAGATTTCATTCCTTGCCAAAAACAGAATTATTGCTAACATAAGCTTAGCAACTAACACATACTACTAATAGTCATATACATTGTACCCAATATTATTTATATTTATGAAATACCATTTGGTTTTAATTTTAGTCATAACTCTTTCATTGATTTTAAAAATATATAATCAACAAAAATGTTATTAATGTTATTAACAAAGATAAGTCTTTTCTGAAGATAAATGTTGTACATGTCTTTATTTTATTTTTTGAAATTCAGTATTCACAATCATCATATGATTTACATATTAACTAAACAAGCAGCCTTATTTACACAGGAACATGACAACAGCACAATGCTCAATAAGCAAAGAACCTTACTCACACATATGCTAATTTGAAACTAATCTGTAATGAATCATGCATTCCAAATTTTCACACATAAATGCTTGCATTCATATATACAAATAGACTGGTAATTATACATCAGTTCAGAAAAAACTTGATTTGATCATTATGTCAAAACACCTACATAAAAAATTATTTATTTTTACAGCCCTGTAAATACAATACTTACAAGTTAGCCACGGCTTTTAACAGATGTCTGCACAGAAAGTAATAAGAAGAAATTTGATAACAGATAAGAAATGACCAAATACTAAAATTAAATTTTATGACAAAATACATTTCTAAATTTAATGAATGTCACAATTAATTATATAAAAATATATGTTTATAAAGTTACAAAACTTAAATTTGACATCATTTTTGAGTTGACATATGCTATTCTTGAATTCGTAACATAAAAACAAATTTATTTGAAATGTTAAGCTCGCATCTTATCAGCTTTTATATATAGTTACAGATTTTGCTTTGACTGACAAACTTTCATTAGTTCCCAAGAAATCATTTTACTACACTCTAAAAAATGGAAATACTTCTAAAACAAATAGAGAATTACAGGTTTCAAAACTGAACATGAAACTAGAAAGCCACAAAATGTTTCTCTTAGTATCATTTTAACACGTTCACGCCGGGGCCAATTTTTATGTTCTTTGCCGGGAGACGACGCTCGAATTTTTGCCGCGTTTCATCTGGTGGCACGCGATTATTATCTGTTCAGACCTGTATACGAGTTATACGTTTGCTAATAGTTACTAATTATAATTGTTACTAAAAAGTTCTTATAATAAATAAACATTAATTTTTCATTATTTTAATTTTCAGCATCTAATAACACAATCGAATGCGTACCATCAGTGGTATGCGTTGCCCAGTGAGACACACTAGTGCGGACCATCGGTGGTAGGCGCTGCCCGATAAGACAAATTAGTGCGTGCCACCGGTGGTAATTGCCGCCCGATGAGACAGACTAGTACGGGCCACTGATAGTACATGCCACCTGATGAGACAGACTAGTGCGGGCAACTGGCGGCCCACGCCGGCGTGAACGTGTTAAATTAAAAAATGAAAAGGTATAACTTTCAGGAGATATAATTTTTGTTTGCAAAAAAATAATAAACGATAGTAACATATTATTTTTATAAAATATGATATATATAAGCTATAAGCTAACATATTTGCAGAAAGATTTATACGAAGTTCAGTTCACATTTCAATTACATAAAACTTACTAATTTTAAAGAACAGAATTTTAAAAATGTTGTATACAGATGCTTTGTAATACAGTACAAGCGATATGCATTTAAACCAACAAAATAATCAAACTATCTACCTTTCACAGGGTAATATTAATCATTGTTTAGTTTATTACACATGTTGAAAAACTTTTGAAAAATTTACTACACATGTTGCAAAAGATAAAGAGAGAATTTTAATTGTAATTTTTTGCAAATACAAAAACATTTAATTTTGTCAGTATGCATCTTGTTTTCAATTACAAGTACATTAAAACTTATATATTTTTTAATTACCATATGTAAACTAAAAAGAAATCTTGGGTTTAATTTCTTGTTTAAAATAATGGACATATTTATAATAAAAATAATCCTTATTAGCTTTTTAAAATTTAATGTAAATTCAATTTTTATAATGTTCAATTTCTTTTCTTTGAAACAACATTTAATTTCATATATTATTCAAAGTTATGATATGTTCACAATCCAACTCCGAAATCACTACCTAGAAAATCTTTAAATTTTACTTAAAATATTTTAATATCTGATTTGTATTGTGGTAGAAGTACACACTTATATACCAAATGAAAATGCTAAAAATTTCTTTCAGCTTGCCTAGATGATAAGATTCAAACAAACCTCAAAAAAATTTTTTTTTCTTTACGAATTCCAAAATGGCAATGAAAATGCAGTCAATTCAGGGGAGGGGCCCAATACTTAATTAACTCTGTGTAGAGTATAAACTCAGTTAAGAAAATAGTCCTCCCTCCAAGCACCAAATGAAAGTAAAAAGAAATTCTGTAATTTACCATACATATACCAGAAATGGCCACTGAGCTTCATTTTTGCTTTCAAAATTAAATGCTTCTAAATTATGTCAGAATGTAGAAATTTATTATTATATACCTAATTTCATAAATATTTATTATTAAAATTTACACATTAACATTTTATTTCATAAAATTCAACATTAATAATTTTTATAATATATTTCTTATAATATGGTATTAAGTATTTTACTATTTGTTTTATATGTACATTAACAATATTCATCATACTTCTTTTTTTAAACATTTTTGTCTTACACCATGGTAAATTTATCACAAATATAAAACACTCTGAGAAATGTATACTTTTAAAATAATGCATAATATAGAAGCAGAACTGCTTTACCACAGAAATCTTTTGCTTTTCCATCTGCATGCATTCCCCATACATAATCAATTTGTACATAACAGGCCTTCTTAGCATAATGAAAATATTAAATGAAAAATGCAACTATCTATTACCTATTTAAAATATTTTAAACAATATAAAATTAACTTATTACTTTTTGAAACAGTAATGAAAAGTTACAAAATTAACAAAGAATTAAAAACTATTTTCTAGTTGTTAGACAAAAAGGAACCTCCTAATAAATTTCAAATATTTCTAAACTTTTTTTATATTGAATGGAATTAATAAATGCATAAGCATATAAAACATCCCCTTTCTATCATACTCATTCACAAAATTATAAGACGATATAATCATAAAAAAGGTTTGTGCTATTTAATTTATAAATACACCAAATTTTTATGTGCCTAGTTTCACCCATGCCAAAATTCTACGATGATTGTTATGCAACAGATCTTATTCCTATAATCTAAAGGCTGCAAAATAATCGAGAACCTATAATAATAATATAATTAATTTTATAAAAAAAAGTTGTGAAATTCAAGTTCAAAAATATAAAACTGCTGCTTTAAACAATATTATAGTGAATATCTTAATTATAGTTAAAAAAGTTTGGTTAAAGTTTAAGGATTTGAAAACATATTTTAAAAATGGAACTTTACAGTTGGTTTTACACAATATTTTTGCAATTAAAATAGTTCACAGATATTGGCTCTTCAGAATATAAAGTTACTGCATCGTAATTCGAAATAAATCTACTTGAAAATTACTGTCCTTACGTATCTTATTTACTGTGCAATAAAAATGTTCAAATTACTTGAAATAATGTGCAAATTAAATTTTCAAAACAACAATTCAGCATTTATATTATAATGAATTTAAATCTCACAATACCTGTAAAGCATGTTTCTAATATAAAATGTTCTTGTTTGAAAATTATTAAATAATGAATATATGAGATTCTTTTGAAAAATGTATGCTGTGCATCAAATAAACTGTAGTATAAGCATCAAATAAAAATAAAATATTGTATTGTAAAACAATAAAAAGCTAATACATATTTTTAACATGCATACAATGAATAATTTCAAGCATAGCTCAACAGAAATTTTTTATGCTACATATTTGCATTATTTTAAAACAATGAAAATATTTTTCATCAAAATAGTTTACATAATCAATATGCTTTTTTAAGGGGATCAATCAGTAATTCAATTGAAATTTATTCAAAAATGATGCTGCTAACTTTTAAGCAGAATAATAAACCTTTCCTTGATCACATATATATATATATATGCATTCTTGACTAATAAGTGGTAAAAAGAGGCTTGAACACACCGCATAAGATGCAAGGTCTCATAAAAATGAAACTATGCGTAAAGTGTATTTATTAATTGAAATACTGGAATGATTAAAAAATGGCTCTCAGGTTCTTTTAAATGTAGTAAAATGGCTGTAAGCATTCTAATGGAACACCTTCACAAAATGATATTAATGCACTTAAACAAACTTAAGAAAATGGCTTCAAATGTTCAAGCTGTATCTCAAGAGCTATCCGTTCCTCCATGATTTCTAATAATTCTTGATTCAGTTCATTATTAAGTCGGGTCAGCATCATGTGTCTTTCACGATGTGCCTGTATTGCAGCTAAAAGCTCTCTTTTTTCTCGGGGAACAGACCTGAAAAAACAACATTTTAGTATTCTATTACTTTTTGTATTTTCACTTTCCCACAACAATAACGGATTTTTATGCAATGGAGGATTCATAAATTTAAAAAATAATATTTTTCTGTAAAAAAGAACTAAATAAAAAATTAAATTTTTGTCAGGGGGTAAGAAAAATAACTGTTGTAAAAAGTTAGACCTCAGTATGCTATTCTGAACCTCTAACATAATTTATCAATTTTTAGTAAATTTTCTACAGTTGATAAATTATTTAATCATTAAATGTGAAATACTTTAAAATTCTGACACTAAGATATTTTTACAGATTACGAAATTAATCCTTTGCCGTCTTAAAGATACCCCCTATAAATGGACTAATAGCAGTCTAATAGCTTTTCAAAAATGAAAATATGCATTAATTTCTAGGCCTATTTTAACTAACTACTTTAACCCTAAATATCCTTCTCATGTATTTTTTGATACCTCTAAAGGAGCCGTTGGTGCTGTTTTAAAACAAGAATATCCTGATGGTAGTTAACATCCAATTGCTTTTCATTTTAGAAAATTAAGGTCTTACGAACAAAATTATGCAATTACTGAGCTGAATGTTTATCTGTTATTGATGCAATTAATAAATTTTATTATTATTTACACGGTAATCATTTTACTGTACATACTGATCATGCTGCTTTAGTCTGGATTAAAAATATAAAACATCCTACAGGTCGTTTATTTAGATGGTGTTTAAAATTATCTATGTATGATTTTGATATAAAGTATAACAAAGGATCCACTAATGTTGAAGCTGACATGCTTTCTAGAAATCCCATTTGTCAGCATTTAAGATTGCAAGTTAATTTATTATCATTGGAAGAAATAAAAGAATATCAAAGTTTAGATAATGTTTGTAATCCTAAATATAAGGAAATGAATGACGTTTTATAACTATTAAAAAACAAGGACTGTATAAAATTGTAATTTCCATGTCTCTTCATATTAAATTACTTGAAAAAGCACATCTAGAATTTGGTCATATTGGCCTGTCCTCTATGCTAAATTTATTGTCTCCTCAATATTACTAGCCAGGAATTGTTCAAGATGTTAGAAATTATTGCAAGCATTGTGAAGTATGTCAGTTTAATAAAAAAAGTAAACAAAAGAAAATTGGTTTAATGCAAAATTTACCATCAGTTAGTGAACCTTTTGAAATACCGCATTTACGCGAATCTAATGCGCATCGTTTTTGGCCAAATGCAGTATTTTAAAATTGGGGTGCACATTAGATTCGAGTGCAAAGTTCGCCAATGACGTCAGCAGTTCGCTGATGGCGTCAACCAAATTTAAATCGTAACAATGAATTACTGTATTTCTCGACTACATTTACCGTTGACACATTATTGCATAGAGGATACAAGCTGCAGAGTACGTAGTCACGAAATGGAGGGCAAACAGAGAAGAATGTCATATGACGCTACTTTCAAACATAAAGTAATTCTTTGTGCTTAAAATAATGGCAATAGAAAGGCAGAGAGAGAGAGAGTTCAACGTAGCTGAGAGCAATGTTCGCTTGTGGCGGCAACAGAAATTGGCACTGTTTGCAACTAAAGCTAGTAGAAAGAAATTCACTGGCCCTCGCAAAGGAAGACACCCTAAAATTGAAGAAAAAGTTTTGGAATTTGTATGTGAAAGGAGGAAGAATGGACAACCTGTGACTAGTAACACCATGAGAAATAAAGCAAAAGAGGAGGCTGAAGTTCTTGGAATACCGAAACAAGAGTTTAAGGCTAGCCGTGGATGGGTGGATTGGTTTATGAAGCGGATGGGCTTATCTCTAAGACGCCGTACAACAATATGCCAAAAGCTTCTTGCAGATTTTGGGGGAAAACTACTAACATTTGAGCAGTATGTCATCACACTTCGGAAGAAAAAGAATTTTTCAAATTGGCAACTCTGACGAGACGTCAATTTGTTTGGTATGCCTCGTAACTACACCATTACGGAGAAGGGGACTGAGGAAGTTATCATCAAAACTTCGGGATGTGAAAAACAACGCGTAACTGTGATGCTAGCAATAACAGCAGACGGGTGCCCTTTCTTAATCTTCAAACGGAAAACATGCCCTAAAACCCATAAGAATCAAAAGCTGTTCCCAGATGATTCGAAACTAAGAGAAGGGGTGGATGACGGAATCATTAACGCTTGATTGGCTCCGAAATGTATGGGAATGCCGTCCCGGTTGGCTCTCCAATCCACCATCAATGCTTTGTCTGGACGCATTTCGTGATCATCTCACCGACGATGTAAAAAAAGAAGATGCACAGCCTTAGGCAGTGATTTTGTTATCATTCCTGGAGGGATGACGTCTATGTTACAACCCCTGGATGTTAGTATAAATAAACCTTTTAAGGGGTACGTTCAGGCGGAGTACGAAAAATGCTTTTGTGAGCCAAATCGTGAATTGACCCAGACAGGAAAAATTAAGCGTGCTGCACCGCACATTGTAGCAGACTGAGTTTCTGCTGCCTGAAAAAGCATCGAAGCACCAAAGATTGTAAAATCTTTCAAGAAATGCTGCATTTCAAATTCACTGAATGGCAGTGAAGATGACGTGCTCTAGAATGGCGGAGGATGACGATGATGATGATGAGGAAAGAAGAAATGAATCTGCACCTGACGAAAAGAGCTGCGAGGATTCCAGTGATGAAAACAGTGAATAAAGACGTTTACTACTAATCACTAATTGTAGAAACTGTTAGCTAGATAGAAATGTTACGATTTATTTCATGTTCATATTTTACGATAGATAACGTATATACGGTAGTGGTAATTAACAATGATTGTTTCACATAACAATTGCCCACTAATAGGTTAATTCTATGTTCTGCTACTTTATGTATAAATCCATTGTTGTATAAAATATGGTATCTAAATTTAAATAATATCATCATACCATTAATTGATAGTTTATATACAAATCCATTGTTGTATAAAATAAGATTCAATAAATTCCTCATATCATTGATGCGCATTACATTCGCCGACAAACAATTTTTTTATTATTTAAAGTTTTAAAATGGGGATACGCATTAGATTCGCATAAATACGGTATTATCTATTGATACTGTTGGAGATTTAAATTATTATAATTCTACTAAAAAGTATATTCATATAATTATTGATCATGCCACCAGATATATTTGGACTTTTGCTTACATAAATTGCTTATAACAAATTTTTCAAATTCAGGTACTTAAGAAAATTTTAAGTGATAGGAATGCTGTTTTTGCATCTTCAAAATTTAAACACTTTTTAAGGAATCATAATGTAAAACAATTATTGACTACAGCAAATGGACACCAAACTAATGGTAAAATTGAATGTGTTAATCAAACGATTATAACTAGATTAAAATGTAAAATAAATTCTTATCAAGGTAATATTGCTTTGACAAAATTACTACTCTAAGTGACTGAAGAATATAATAATATCCCTCCATTCTGTAACAAAATTCCCACCATCATACTTAATGTATGGAAAATTACCTTATGATTCCTTAATCCAAAATCAAGAATTATAAACCTAATCCTCTAACTAAAAAGAAATCAGAAATTGTTCATTCAACTAGACTCAGACCTTTTAATCCAGCAAGTGAATTTCAATTAACTGTTAGAAATAGTAGAATTCCTATCTTTGTTCAAAATTAATTTTAATTTTTCAAATTTCTTTCCTGATTATGACTTTTAATATCTGATCTAGACTTAAACACTAACTATGACATGACCTTTTATATTTTTCACATAATTTTGAGTCAGCTATGGTCACGAAACTGGCTTGGCTTTTTATATACTTTTTCATACCAGCCACGATCCTCTGACCATAGTTTAGCACAGAAATGCTACCCCCCACATGTAAACACATATTTTCCCCATAAATTTAGATTATTTTGTAACAATTTTTTTTTTCCTTCCTTCTTGTTGTAAGGTAAAATTCATTTCTTGTTTCTAAATTTCTAAAAAACCCTTTGATACAATGTACAATGACAAAAACCAGTTACCTTTAATTAGGCAATGGAGGTTTTTTGATATTTTGTACCTAGCAACCCCCAACCATCAGCAAGCTGCTCTGTTGGCGAGAACATGCCAAAAATTTTGATTCAAAGTGTTAATGTCTTATTGTATCATATCATTATTTATATTGAATTATATCGTAATGTTTTGTATTGAATTTTAAAATTATTTTCAAATATGATGAAAATAAGCTGGACTTACTGGCCTCAAGACTTTAAAAAATATTTCATTCCATTTCAACTATTTTTATGAAAGTACTGTGGACATTTTAAGAAAAATTGAGGACTTTTATGCTTATAATTTATTTATTATTATTATTCCATATAAAATTTAGTTATATGTTTATTTATAAATCATTGTAAATTTGTATACTTCAAAAACTTTACACTTATATGAGAAAAGATCATGATTTATGATAGGACATAGTTAAAGCTTGTAAGCTATGTCCTGGATGTTTCTTCATGTCTTTCCTCATACTTCCTGCTTCACTAATCTACTAATACTTTGCTCACCTGGCCTTTTGTTTTGAAAGCAGGGGCGAAAGATGTAAAATATAAAAAAATACGATGGCTTTGCTCTATGCAAACACGCAACCTCTAAGTAACTTTTCATAATTTAGGATCTTCCCCCTTGACTAGTACCTTCCAAAATTCTCTAGTCTGTTACATAACCCACTTGTATAAATAACAAGCTCATGCCATTTTGCGGTGCAGAAGACTGCTTCCTAATCTCGCTGCTACAAGACTCCGCGCTGCATTGTCCACCTTTTCTCCCTTTGTTAGAATTAATTATGACGCATAAAGTTTAAATTCAATCATACTTAGTTAAAATCACTATGGATCTGCAATTTAAAGAGTGTTATCTAAAAGGAAAATGATCTGCTAATTGGAGTAAATAAAAATGGGCAATTAAAAACTAAATCAATTTGTGTCATCTTTGGATATCCTCTTTACTACTCTGTGAACACGCACACAACAATTATGAGACTTTTACATTTTTTTTTAATGCTCTCAACAGAGAATTTCACTTTGTTCAGATATAATGATTTCCTTTTTTATTTATTACTGTTATTATTTTACATGTTTATGGATTCTGCCAATGCTTTGTGAGTCTTCTAAAAATAACTTTCTTTTCTCCCGAGTGAAGAACAGATACTGTTAACCACAGAATAATTAAAAATTTTTTATATTTAACAGAAACTGATTTCTGTTTGCAGTGTGTCACATTTTAAAAATGAACTTTTATAATGGCCACATAAACTAAAATTTTTCAATAAGAAATTTTTTAATTTGGAAATATGCCATAATGTTGTATTAATACAGACACACTTTTTTTTTTTGCAATAAATCTAATAGATTCATGATGTAACACTAAAGTTCATATTGCTATTGTAAAACATAAATTTTTCCAACAATTACACATTGAACTCAATATAATGGGAAATTGAATTAATTCTTGCAGTTTGTTGGACAGAAAACAAATGTTTATTTTTATAGAACGATAAGATATTTACTGAAAGTAGTGTTCCTCGGCAGCTACAATCTTTTCCCACTTTTCGGGTAACAAATAGATTCCATGATAAAAAAAATTCACATTCTTTTAGGGTGATTCACTTTCAGTTTCTGAAATCGTTAAAAACATGTGTTGTTCAGAAAGGCCATGCTGCATGGAGCAAAACAAATGTTAATCAGAAGAAGCGATGTCTGGTGAATATGGCGGATGGGGTCCTTTGAAAGGGATGCTTGACGGAAAGACACATCTTCGAAATCTTTTCAAGGCTTTTTTCACTCGGTTTGCAACAAATGGTTTGGCATTATCATGAAGCAGAACTACTTCATTGTGTCTCTGAGCATACTGCACGATTCAGATTGAGTAATTGTGCTTCGTAGAATTTAGCATTCAAAGTTTGATCTGGTTGCAGCAACTCATAGTTCACATCAACTTGACCCCACCAAATGCATAGCCTAATCTTCTTGCCATGAATATCCAGTTGAAGTTGATGATTCACCCTGATATGATTTCATGCAAAAATGACTTCAATTTTATTTTTGTCTTTGAAGCAATACTTTATAAATGGTAAAGCATTTCACATCTCTTTTTGTCAATTCCCGAGGTACTCGGTTTCAGGTTCAGAAATTTTTGAATCATTCCCATTGGTTTTCAACACTTATTTAACAGTTGATGCATTCACATTTAGTGTTTGAGACAACTACCTAAGTGTCCAAGACGAATCTTCTGTCAGTGATGTCTGTCAGTCTAAATGCCCATCATCAAACTTTTTCGGTTACCAGGATGCATTTCATCCCTTACCTCAAAATCGTTGTCTTTGAATCGTCAAAACCAATTTCTGCACATTGTTTCTGATAAAAGACATTCTTCATACACTTCCACTAGCTAACAATGATTTTCTCCAGAAGATTTCTCGAGATAAAAGCAGAAGAGTAATACTTCTTGCAAATGCTGTTTCGTAGGTATGAAACCTGACATATTCAAGGCACTAAATAGGCATGCTTTTTTCCACTCTATTCGAAAATCACATACAGAACTGAAAGCCTAACATTTTTACCATTAAATACTTCTTGTTTCACTGTCCACTATGCTGCACTTGTACAGCTACTGTCCTCTCTGCATCAACAGTAAGAATTAATTCAAGCTCAAAATAATGAGGCAATATAAATATTTTAAAAGCAAAAATTCATTAAACTGCTTATTTTAAAGTAGTACAGACAAAAGTCGTTAATTCGGACCTCAAAGCTACAAACTTTCTGCGCATGCGTCCCTAAGACCTTTACGGCTGCCAATATGCGTGTGCACACGCGCAAAATATGTTTACGAATGCGTGTTTAATGTATAACGGACGGTATAAGCTAAGCTAAAATTATCTAATTCAGTTAATGTTGCAGATTGCGTTGTTCCTTAATCTTCGAATTGGATATGGCTTATTATCTTTTGCAGACTGTTAGAGCAATTTTATAAAAGTAAGCTTGAACTTTCGATTATGTCAAATAGAATTTCTGATATATGTTTACTAATATGTAAAGGATCTACAAAGCAAAAGCATGTTTCGAAGTCCATTAAACAAAAAGTGGAATTGCTGCAAAAAATGGATAAAGGCATATCCTTTGTTTATCTAACCATTCCGAAATCTGTTTATAAATTTCACGCTGCTCTGAGGCGGAGGGGGGGGGGCACCTCGGCGCGCAATGAATTGGAAGTTGAACTGTCAGCACTGTCCTTATCTTCAGAGCAGATGTTTTTATTTTATTTGGCTTATAATTCCTTACTAAATGTGGTATTTCATCTCGATGCACTCCGTCTTTGATATGATTTAAATCAAATTCCTCCTCATTATAATTCGCTTCCGATAGCGAAGAAAGTAACAGAGGTTATTGAAAAAGAAAAAATTTCGATTGACAAATTAGTCGGTATTCTCGACACAGCAATTATAGGACTTGAACAGCGGAACTTTGTAACTGAACAAGAAATTATGTCTGTTTATAGAATTATAGAGAATGTATTATCACATAAAAAACGAAGCAACTTACACAACTTACATTGAAAGACATGTTTAATAAAGTAAACAAATAATATTAAGCTTTTTTTTTTTTTTTTTTTTTTTTTTTTGTAAATTTTGATACTCTTTAGATCATAATTGTTCTTTATTTCATAAATTACGGTTTCATATTTTTAATTTTATAATTTCTGCATGCCATCTTACCAGATTTAAACTGATGATCTACAATCTGGAAAAATCGATAATCCGGAATCGCCGAAGTCCCGACGACTTTGGAGTGTATTAAAAGCAGTTAGAAAACGATAATATACCTCTAATGAGTTAGCTAATAAAAATATTTATAAAAGTTATTTTTTAATGTTTTCTTTTTGGCATTTAGGAAATTACATTTTACTCCCAGTAATAAAAATACAATTACACATTCCCAAAACGAAACATGTCTATTGAGAATGATAATTTTCAAATTTGATTTCTCATTACATAATAAACCTAATTATTTGACCTAGGCAGACAAAGGATTGTTTAATAAGCATTCACAATTCAGTTTTAATATCTCACTGGGAAAAAAATTAAAAACCTCGCAACAAACTAGGCATGTCTTTTTTCAACTTTGGAAAGTGGAACTATATTATTACATTATTTCTTTTATTGTTACTTTAGTTTCAATATATGTTTTCCATGATTTAATATTAAACCTCATGACTGGCTTTATCCGGTCATGAAATTTTTTGTCACTTGGTATAGCTTAAAATTTATGTTATTTTGCTTTCTTACTTTCTTTAAGATTTCTTGAGATAAAAGCAGAAGAGTACTTGAAGATACCTCACGCAAATGCTGTTTTGTAGGTATGAAACCTAACATGTTCAAGACACTAAATAGGCATGCTCTTTTCACTCTACTCAAAAGTCTCATACAGATCTGAAAAAGCCTAATTTTTTTTTAAAAACTTCTCCGATAAAAATTCAAGTCGTGACTGCTGTTATGCTTCATGCCATTTCAGTTCAAAATGTGTTTCACAGAAATGCTTTACTTATGTAAATCAGAAAAATCTTATCACCAGTAAAAAAATACACTTGCAATGAAACTTTATTAATCCATTAAATTATCTTTGGATGCTTTAATTTCCCATACATCATCACTTTACTCTAAATCTGTAATTTTTTTCAAACTTACAGCGGTTCATTTCATTCATTTATTTAACATCATTAATTCCTACATAAATATAGAATAAAACACAGTACTAACATATAGTTTTCCTGTATGTGCTCATATTTATTAGTCGTAATCCATAAAATTATAAATATAAACTGAAATTAATTTAACTTGTGGACTATACAAATATGTTTCAGATTTACATGTACTGATACAGCAAAAATATTTTTACAATGAATCCTCATTTCATTAGGACATTAAGGTGGAAGACAAGAAATCTTTTACTCTAGTTTGAAATAAAATTCTATACTCCAAAACTTTAATTTATGAGTACTGATAATTACTTACGTGATACTGGCAGCTTGTATAGCTAAAGGAGGAGGTGCTGATGGATGCCGCTTTCTATCACATGAAGCTTCATCAGGCTGGCTAATATCTACTAATAATGCTGTACTGTCATCTGTGGCAACAGGTGTTGACACCTAACAGAGGTATGAATTATTAGCTACTTTCGCACAAATAAAAGATGTTTAAACACACATTTTAAAAAACTATACATTGATACACACAAAAGGTTTCTTATAAAAAGATTTAAAATTTGGGAAACTTTAACCTTAGCTGGATGTTTGTTATATAGAAAAGATGCGATATTTTTCCCAAATTTATATTTTGTGGGAAATTGGGTGATCCTTACTTCAGGAAACAAAATTATTCTATGCTGTTAGTAAAAGATACATAATTCAACCAGATATAAAATAAATAAAGAAAAAGAAAGGAAAATACTATTGCCTCCCATAAAGGGAGAAAATTTGATTTTTTTTTTTTCCAATTTCCCCCTATGCAAAATTTTTTGCATTACGAAAAAGTGAATGAGATTTCAAATCACTTAGAGCATAAGACATTTGTGAAATGAAGAATTCATTAACCAGAGAAAATTTCTGGATAGTTTTAACAGAATTAAAATTAATACGAATAGTTAATAGATCAGATATCATTATCTATTATCACATATCATTATTTTTACTTTCTGATGTAAGACTGTTCTTCTTAAATGTGAAATTTGAATCTTGGTTTAGTGGTATATGTTAAATAGTACTGATAAAGATTATAATTAATTCTCCCAGAATTAATTACAAATTAAGTCAAGATAATAACTTGAAGTTTAGATTTATGTATAATCTAAGAATTTTTTCAAAAAATGGAATGACAATGAAATTACCTTGATTGTTTTTAAAGGTAAAATGCTTTTCATAATGATAAGGGCACTTTTATAAGTCTTAGCTACATGAATGACATTTCTATCAAAAATTAAAAAACTATGTTTATTTTTCGGCAAAATCAATACATAGCTAATTTTTTTTTCTTTATTTTGAGATTTGAATTAGTACATTTTCTTCCACTAAAAAAGAAAATTAATATGAAACAACAGAAAGAATGTGATCACAATACTAACCTACAAACTCCTAAAATTCAAGTACAGTCTTTCAATAAGCAAAGATTATGGTGTAAAAAAATTTACAGAAGAAAGGGAAAAAATTCAGGCCTTTAATTACTTTTGATAACTATGCCCCTCAAACTCATAATTCATTACTGTGTTTAGAGAAATTACCCTTAATTAGTGACAAACCTTATGTAATTATGACAGTTTTAATCTGCAGTTAAGAACAAAATGAATTTTGACTGAAATTTTGAAGCACATTAACAAAATATCCCCTCTGCTACATCTACATGACTAACAGTAGCTACAATTAAGTGATGACATTCCTATACAATAGTAATAACAACATTTTCAAGTCTAGATAAAAACTAACTGTGTCACACTAACATTTAAGAATAAATCAGTGAATAAATAATGTCAGTAAGAAAATACACTGATATCTGAACTAAAAATTTAATAATTTAAGGACATTTTTGGCTTAAGTTCTCATATATGAAAAACTGATAAATGAAGAGAATGATGACAAAACAGATGACGGAATATTTCAATAATTTCATACTTATGACTGAATGTAGGAGAAAAATGGATTCTAAAAGTAAATAACATGTGAAATCTGATCATTTTTACATTGGAAAAGATGGTATCACCCAGTAGAATAAAGTATAAAACTACCAAGAAAAACTGAAGAAACCATAAATGTATTTTATCCCATTCATTTAAGAGCAACTTTTTGTTATTAAATTATAATTGTCAACAGTTATCAATTGTTAAATATTTATACTAAAGCAATTTACTACCCACAATTTTTAAGAAGAATAAGATATTTGCTTACCTAAATTATCAAAAATTAAAAAAGGATTCATATGTTGTTTCCAAACATTTAAAAAAAATCATCTCATGTAACTATGCGAGATTAACGGGTTACCACTCACAGAAGCCAAATATACTTCATATTGTTACGAAATGAACAGGCACGGCGAGATAGCTGTTTAGGGTTGCCATAAAATGGCAAGGGAAGGCAGGGTTGCTACATTCAGCAAGAAATGACCTATTTGGCGATATGTCATGGACAGATGGAGAACCTTCTGGAACGAATTCTTAACGGTTTAGCCCAGAATGTTCTTGAACACAAGCCGAAAACTACATAAACCCTGTTGGTCCGCAACGAGAGTGTGAGCCTTGTCTAGTGAGCTAAAAGTCAGTATCGAGTTAGCGAGCCGTGTGGAGTCGACTGAGTTGACAGCCGGGCAGCGAGTGCCGAGTGCAGCGAAAGAATCTCGTAGTGTATTGTGGTTAGTGCATCATTGTGAGAGTGTCTTGAGCTCCGGGAATGATTGAACCGAAGAGTCGGGAGCTGTGCTCTGTGTGTCTCGAGTGCATTGCGAGTTGTAGCGGGGTGAGTCTCGAGAGTATGTGGAGTTCCGAGAACGACCAAGCAGAATCGGGAGTTGTACTCTAGTGCTCTGCAGTGAAGTTGTCTCCACCGTGATAGCCTGATAACCTGGCGGCTGTGTCGCTGATCGTGTCAGCATGTTTATAGTATTTCATCAACGACTGTAAAAACGTGTTTTGGAGCTGTCCTGACAATACTAGCCAATAAAGTATATTTCGATAATTCATCAAGTGTTGTCGTTATTCACTCCAAATCTACGAACGTGAAGGAAGGAAATAATGCAACAACTGGTGTCAGAAGTGGGATTTGCTAGTTAATGCCAGTGACCTGCCTGCAAAGGAAAGCCATGACGGAAGAAACAAAGACTTTAATGGACTTCTTAGCCGAGATCATAGCCGGACAGGAGGAGTTGAAAGCCAGATGTGCTGAGATAAAGGACGGATATGCTGAGATAAAAGCTGGATATGAAGAGATGACAGCTGATATGAAAGCTGGACAAGAAGAAATAAATGTCGGCCAAGAAAAGGTGCGAGAACAACTACGACAGGTGAAAGTGGAGCTTACAGAAGAAACTGGAGCCATAAAAGATGATGTGGAAGTGAGAGAAGTGGCTTCTGAAGAATCAAAGGATGAAGAAAGAAGGAAGTAACTAACAAACTGCCTGAGAAAGATCTAGAAATGATAGATGAAGCATTAACGGGATTAACGAAAAAGAACAAAACCACGAAGAAATAAAAGACAGGAAAGAAGCTTCTGATTCTCAAGTGCCTGAAGTGGACGTGAAAGAAAGTTAAAATGCGACTGTTAAGTTCTTCGAAACTGATGGTGAAGTTATGAAAACGAAGTCAGCAAGTGTTGAACCATCTGAAAGTTCATGTAATACTGAGATTGAAGAAGCTGATGTACAGCTGAAGCAGTGTGCTCCAGTATTGCAAGAAAATTCACGCACATCACAAACTATGTGCGCGTCTAATAGTGCTGATTGTGCAGATAAGGACTTGATTCTAAACCTCGATACTTATGTTTGTGAAGCATTGGGTTCCGTTCATGACTCTGATGCAGAATTTTAAGCTGGTTCCCAGGAAACGAAGGAAAATAAGCATGTGCCATCTGCTAAAAATACTGAGGTGAATTGTAAACGTGATTCAAATAAACCACATAGTGGTGAAAGAATTGTTTTAAATCTCCCAATGGATGAAAAGTCTGAAAGGATTGAATGTTCAGACTGTGACATGAAAAACAGAAATGCATCTGAGGACTGCAGTGGCAAAGTATTTGACCCGTGTATAAAAAATGAAAAGACTGAGACTGAAATACATTCAGAACTTTAATTTGTATAATTTAAAATTGTTATAACTTGAACATAGTGTAAATATTTGTTTCTTTAGTTATGTTATCTGTATGTTTTAAAACGTTTTGATTGTATCGAATTTGGCTTCTGACCAAGGACTGTACTGCCTGGGATGTGCAGTCCTTGAAAGGGGGCAGTGTTACGAAATGAACAGGCGCAGTGAGATAGCTTCCCCGCAAAGCAGTTTTAGGGTTGCCATAAAATGGCAAGGGAAGGCAGGGTGGCCACTTTTGACAACAAAATTGGCGATATGACATGGACGGACCGAGAACCTTCTGGAACGAATTCTTACCAATTTAGCCCAGAATGTTCTCGAACACTATATAAACCATGCTGGTCTGCAGTCAGTGTGTGTGCCTCGCATAGAGTGCGAAATAGTTAGTATCGAGTTGATGTCTCATCTAGCGAGTCAATCAAGTTGAGAGCCTGGCAGCGAGTGCCGAGTGCACCGAAAGAGTCTCGTAGTGTATCGTGGTTAATGCATCGCCGAGAGAGCATGTTGAGCTCCGGGAAGGACTGACAGTGTGAAAGCTGTGTCGCTGATTGTTCCAGCGTGTTTATTGTAGATCTTCAACAATTGTAAAAGTGCTTTGGAGCTGTCCTGATTAATATTGGTAAATAAAGTGTGCTTCGATACTTCATCAAGTGTCGTTGTTATTCACTCCAAATTCACACAAACCCTGTACGAACGCAACAATATGTTTATGTTCACCTCTTTGTCGAAGGGGCTGGAAATCAATCTCAACACAATAAATTTCATAAATATTTTACTTGCTCCAATGTACAAACTGCAAATACAACATAATATTATACCTTTAGAACAGAGTTATAAAAATAATCATGTGTTGCCCCATTTCTGAAATAAAATCATACAAAACTTAGTTTATTTAAAAGTGGAAATAAGTTATTTTTAGTGTTTTATGAATAACAGCAGCACCCTCTTTAGGCAAACACAATGAATGTTACAACAGTTTATTTTATTATAAACAGTAACATTAAAAAAATCATTTAGAAAAAATTCAGATTTTATTTAAGGAAAAACATTACTAACAGCATTCCTGTTAGTAATGTGAGCTCTTGTAGCTTAAGTAAGATAAGAAATTATGACCTCTACTTCTGGGAGAAATGCAGCTTTACTTTTTTTTTTTTTTTTTCTAAACAGAACTAATTGAACAATTACAAAAAATAAAGTTGATTACAAATATTTCTTAGTAATTAATTAATACATATGTTGCCAATGTATTCATATATCAGTTATCTATTTTAACTTAAATACTCAATATATCACTTTCGGGTTTCATAAACACATAGAACAAAATGAAAGTAGGTATTGAAAATGATATAAATTACCTGTTCTAAGAGAAAATTTCCACTATCTGCAGGATTCACACGAAGACCTAAAATTAATATTTATATTTATACAAAGAAAACCTAACAAATGAAGAGTTATAAAAGTGATTTAGACAACAAACATTTATTAGAAATTTAAAAGAAATAAACCTTTGAGCTTCCCTTGGGGGAGGGGAAGTTTAAAGTCAGTAACATTTAAAAAATTATTATTTAAAGAAATTTTCAATAAATATTACAGCAATAAAAAAAAAAAAACATTTTTTTGGAAGTCTTAAAATAATAATAAAGATGTTTTAGATCTACCTGTTCAAAAGGAAGTTCTATAAAAAGAAATTTTGAGGACATCAAGAATTAACACAGTTTCTGACATGGTTACTAATAAAAAACTTTTAATGAAATATTATTTTAATTTGGAATCATCAACCATAGTTTTAAAGACCCTTCTGTCATGTGCATGAGCTGTGGGGTAAAAATGAAGATAATGATTAAGAAAGTTGGAACAACTTTAGTTTTGGAGTTATCATCCATAAACTGCAAAACAAACATCTAGCAACCACTGCAATTGCAATATTGAACATTCTATGATAGCCATCAGAATGAAAAAGTAAAAAAAAAAAAAAAAAAAAAAAAAAAAAAGTGGTACTGCTCCTGGTTTTCCACAGCAGAAAAAAATTTCATGATGAGTTTTCAGAAAATTGAATTGATGGAAGTAATTAATGGCTGTTACATGCTTTGGGTGATGAAGTCTACATTACCTTGCTCTGTAAGCACATACAGTGGCAAAATATGATAGTAGAAATTCCACTGTATCCACGAAAAGTAAAAATGTAATGATGATTCACTTTTTTTACATGACTGTAGTTATGAAACTGTCATAAGTCAAAATTACACTATACTGTTTTGAAACAGGATTATCTCTAGCACGGAATCAAATTTAGGATCTTGGAACACTTGATGGAAAATGCAACATCAACCATAATGCTTTTCACCGAAATAAATTTCTCAACTTGTGAAGATAATTGGGTGATAAGCTGTAACTTCCAGTGTAAACAACCTTCCAATTCTCCAGACTTGACACCCTACAGTTTTGGGCTATGGCATTCCTATATCAACAACTCTACAGAAATGGTATTTTAGTCATATTTCTGCAAAAAAAATAAATATATGAATCTCAGGCGGTTCATAATATTGTAGCTTTTCTTCAGACAATACCCAAAAAATAAGAGCTGCCACATGGAATATTTACTACAATACAGAATTTCAAGTTGTAAATCTATTGTTACACAGAAGAAAAAAACTAACTAAAAATGCATATATTGTTACAAATTTTGTATTTAGATAGGTAATTTTAGTAGAATTATTATTAAAATTGTTGTATTTTTCTGAGTAATGTAGTGCAAGACAAATTTTAAGAGAAAGCTATAGCAGAAAAATAAGAATACAGGGGCACATGCATTTAACCCTGAGTAAATGGGATTGAAATTGAATAAATGTTATTGACCACTGTGTTAGTTGTAACCGTAATTCCTTCCTCGTATTGCTCTCCAGTAATTTCGAGAAGCAGAAAGTACTAGAAATATCTTGTAGATGGTTGAAAACTATTTAAAGCAGAGCAAAGAGCATCTCCTCTCAGTTGTTTAGTTACTACTGAAGTGAATTGTTTAGTTCAGCCTGAACTGAGATATCCAAGTCAGCTTTCTCTTTGGATGTGCTTTAAATTGAGTTGTATTTAATGTTCTTAGTAGTTTGAAGTGTAACTACTGATTATATTATGTGATACCATGAACATGTGTCTGAATATTTCTGGGGAGAATTCCAGAGTCCTCAAATAATTCTCCTGTTAAAAAAAATTCATTTTTATTAACGTATTATCCAACTTGTGCATTCAATCTATTACGAACTTGTATGCATGCAACAATTTGTGATGTCAAGAGTGGGGTTAAATGCTAATGACAAGAGCGATGGAGGAGCAATTAAGACAGCTGCTGGCAGCCTTTGCAGCGTAAAATGAAGAGATGAAAACGAGTCAAGAATTGGTTAAAAAATAGATGAAAGCAGGTCAAAAGGAAATGAAAATAGAAAGCAAATTTGAGGCTATGGAAGGAAGTAAAGATGTTGTTGAAAATACACTGAAGAAAGAGTTTCTGATGTCCAACAACAAATAAATGACAGGGTTTCTGTGTTCGCCAAAGAAGTTGATATCCCGACGAAATTGTTACCAATGGCAGGGAGCAATATGGATGGTTTTAAATTTTTGTCCGTCTCTGAAGCTATCCACATATGATGGGAAGGTTTTTTGGCAAGCATATAAGACACAATTTTCTATAGTGGCGAAGGCGAAAGAATGGGATTCTCAAGCTAAGGCTTGTCATCTCGCCACTTCTCACAAAGCAGATGCAGTGGATATCCTTCAGTCTCTTTGTGAAAGCCAAAGGCTAGATTTCGAAGCTCTATCCAGCACATTGGAGCTGAACTTTGGGAACAAGTGTTTAAAGGTTTATAGCAGGCTTCAATACAAATCCCGTCCACAGAAGTTCACGAATGTTAAAAGGTTGTCTCATCTCGCCTTTTTCGAATACCCAACAGACACGAGGGAAAACTTGTCCCTGCAGTACTTCATCCACAGCATGGCATCCAGGATCCTGAAATGCAGAAGCTCTATGAATGGCAGATGTCAACGATTTAACAAGCACTCTGGTGTAAGCCATAAAATTTGAGGCAGTCCAGCAACCAACTTGTAGAGACCGCCACTCAATCAGAGCTGGTCAAGTCCAGGAGCCACGGTGGATCAAGTGACTGCTATCTAGATAATTTAACTAGACAAGTGAATGCTTTGATATGGAATAGGAGTGAGAAGAAACGGACTCAAAAGTGTTGGAAATGTGGTGCTGAAGGCCAAGTAGGAAGGAACTGCAGAACAACCCAGGGCATGGAAAATAAAACAGACAAGTCAGTGCCTTGAGACAGAATGTGAGTTACAAGAAACCTAAAGTGAGGAAACTGTGGTGCTGAGGGCCACGTACGAAGGAACTGCAGAGCATCCTAGGGCACAGAAAATAATACCATTACCCAGCAACAGCGGAGGAAACAAATTAACGGCCATATTGCACAGTGGAGTCTGAAGGATAATGAGAAGCCTAATTTTAAAGTGCTTCTGATTTCTGCAGTGAGTAGCAGCAATAATGGATTCTTCATCATGGGATATATCAATGGAGTTCCTTGCAATATGCTTATCAATAAAGGTGCGAATGTTACTATCAATTTGGAAATATTTCGTTCAACAGTTTAAAGATGAACTCATTTGCATGCCATCCTGTGATACTGATCAAATCAAAAGAGATGGGAAGTTAAAATAAACATCAAGTTTGGAAGTGTCACCTACAATCAAATGGCATATGTGGCAGATATTACAGAATCTTGCATACTCAGATTGGACTTTCCCCGGGAAATACAATTTTTCCTTGGACTTTAAAAATCTGCATTCAGCCTCTGAGAACATAACTATCCATCATCAGAAGGGATCCTCAGCTGGAAACATCGATGTCTTGTCTTGAAGACCCTGCACAGAAAGCTGCCGGTCAAAGATTTAGATCCTGGGATTTTTATTAACCTATTATCGAATTTGTGCATTCAGTCTATTACGAACCTGTATGCACACTACAATATTTTAAAATGATCAGGGATAATGTAACCCTCTTCTCTATAACAGCATTACCACACATTGAAAATTAACTGTAACAGGAATGTTTATGAATGTTTGGATCACACTGTGTAACAATGTATCATTCCAATATTTCCAACAGACTGATTTAAAACAAACAACTCTCGTCTCTACTCTAAAAATAGCAGATTTCATTTTTTTTTCTTTTTAAAGGGAGGGGGGTCAGGATACAGTGAATGAGGGTTTATAAGGGGTATGAATCAGTTTTCAGAAGACCTCTTTACAAAATGAATGAGAAAGTTTCTGAACTGTAAAATATTCATAGGGATATCATGATATGCTGAAAGAAACAATATGATTTGATAGAGATTATATAAAAGATATCCATTCAAAATACTTAGCAAATGTTGTCTTTTAATCGCTTCAAAATATATAGCAAATATTCTTGGTCACAACATTAAAAAAAAAAAAAAAAAAAAAAAAAAAAAAAAAAAAAATTCTATAAAAAATTTATTGTTTACCACTTAATTAGGAATTGGTATTATTTCGATTCCTACATCTTTAACAGATTTTCTAAATATAAGTTAAATCAAATTTTACAGTTAAAAATTTTGATACAGTTACTGAAACCAGAAATATGAGATAGCAGACAGAATGGCAGGCAGAAGAAGCTTGATGACAAAAGTGGCTTTTAATTCAGACACAAAAAGAAATTATTCTCGACAGAACTTGATAGTATACCAAGACTATTAAATCGTACCATGGGCACACAATGTCAGATTTCAATTTGCATGTTAATATAAACACAGTTATTTGCAGACTTTATTTTAATTTTAGTATGATTAAAAGATCAAATGCTGTTATTACTTAAAATCAAAGACAAGACGTTAAAAAAAAAAAAAAAAAAAAAAAAAAAAAAAGACTATAGCCAAGAGATAAGTAAAAAAATTTGATTATTTTCTTTTTAATTTCTAAAGAGAAGCATAGTTGTAATGAAAACAGATTTTGCTCTGGTGATAACAATAAACTAATATTTAACATTTTTGTACATTATACAAGTATACAGAGGTATGCTGTTATCTAGAAGACGGTTTTTCATATGATAAATAAAAGCATTTATAAAATATGTGAATAGATGTTTTGAAAATATAAAACTATACCTCTGGATGCAAATTCCACTAAATTTTAATAATTTTCAGTAAACCTTTAATTATTTTAAATTGCTTGTAATTATTAAATTATATTACATAAGTTTCATATTACAAGAAATACTTATCTGCAAGACTGCAAACAAATTTAAATACTATGATAATGAAATAGAAGGCACACTAAGATTTGTACTTTGATTCTTTGTTAAAAACATCCTTCAGAAAAACATTCATGTGCACAATTACACATAAATCTATTCATATCATAATATATTACATACCATCTTGCCCTAATGGAGGTTTCTTATATATCTCAAAAGCTCCAGACTGTAAAAAATAAGACAGAAAACATTATTGCAAATGAAGCAATAAAAATAATATAATTACAGTAAAATTAATAAATTAAACTCACAGGTATTTTCCAAGATACAATTTAAAAAAATAAAAACAAACAATGGCAACCACAAAAAAAAAGTGTATCAACGTTCCACAGAGTAAATTTCATGATATATTTGGAGCATGAAAAAGTGCGACAAAATACTGTTTGTTACATCACTGTGAAACTACTTTTGATTTTGAAAAAGTTTTGATATCGCAAAATAAATACAGAGGAAATTCTAAAGAAGTTACTCTTATTTGACAAGAAAAAACTAAAAAGAGAAAACAATTTGTTCCTTAACGGCTTCTCTAGTGAAAGAAATTTAGTTACCTTTTAAAATACTTCACATTAATTCAAAACAATATAATAAATAAATGCTATACTGCACTGAATTCCATTTACCTTCAAATGCAAATTTGCACTATCTGCATCATCAAATTCTGTAAAATCTGCGAAATCTGCACTATCACTTACAGGATGTTCATCAGGGTGGAAAGCATTCTTCTGTGGTGTAGCCTGAAATATACATACACTGAATTCATAAAAGCTTTCAAATAAATATATATGCATTAATATTTTGTTTTCTAAACTGTGCTACCATATTCAATGGATTAAACGATAAACTGACTATACAGCAGATCAAAAGTAACTAAAAAATTTTTGAGAGCAAAAATTCATATTTTAATGTAGGTAAAATTTAAAAAAAAAATCACATTATGAAATTTGATGATAAAGATTCATAAAACAATTAGCTGACGCTTTGTATCTGATTCTCAACTAGATCCTTATTGACAAAAATAGTTCTTGATGCCATAATTTCAATGGTTAAGAACTCTCTCTCTCTCTTTTTTTTTTTTTTTTAAATCAATGGACTGTACCGATGGGGCAATTCTACTCGAATTTTTTCTTTAGATAAGCAGATTATAGGTTAGGACAACCAACCATTTGGCAACATTCCCAAAGAGCTCCAAGTAGAATTTTCGGTTTGGTGTAGTCCATTAAGAAAAGGGTCATTACTGGCATTAGAATATGGCCATAATGATAAGGAAATACCATATTTTTCAACCTTTGTGCTTTTTTTGAAACAAACTCTAAATAAAAGAATGGCAAGTTATTAAAAATTAGACAATACATTATCATGGGAAGATTATTCACAAATTCATTGGAAGAGATAGCTTTTGTGGAAGCATTTCTTTAAACAGAAACTTATCATTCCTGCTCACAGGAACTATGTAACATCTCTTAAAAAAATATGGACTCTAGACAACAGATTTATGAATAGCCCACCTCACTATAACTTTGGGATCATGGAATTCCTTCCTACCACATAGTTATGCTCCTTTCAAATCAACTTATTTTGATGGAATTACCATTTGTCAAGATGCTATCTGCTCAACTGCTGACAGGAGGCATAGCTAGGGTTTTCAGTGTCTGGGAAAACTGAAGATTTTATGCCCCCTCCTGTATTCCAAAATGCAATGAAGGGAGAGAAATTCCCTTTGCTCTTCCCTAGCTATGATACTGCTACTGACCCAAGTTAATTCACTGAATTAAGCAGCTGTCATTCAAATAATAATAATAAAATATTTCAAACACTAGAAACTTCACGAGAGTTCATATCTCTTCTTAAGGATTCTGACAATATCTATTTGGAAAAACACAATAGGACTATAGATAAGTCTTTGTCTTTTCTTTTTTTTATCATAAATTGAGCACTTACTGTAAAAGAATGGTGCATTATGTTTTATTCAAAGTATAATCTATCACTAGCCACTACTTTTCCCCCGTCTTTCTGGCAGCATACGGATACCGCACCAACTGTCTGGTGGAATTTCAGCGAAGGTAAGCTTCTAATGTGCTTTTTATTATAATTCTTATAGTCTTATGTGTAGGTGCTGGTCCCTGTCACGACTTCTTGCTTTCTACCGAGGGAGAACTCGTGCTCTTGGATTACACGGATTTTTAAATGCATTATTATGGACGTGGTTAGTGATTTGGACTATGAATGTATTTCTGATTACAACTTGGACAATTTGGATAGGGCCTGTAATTCTTCAAGGATGCCTCTTATGAAAACAGATAAGGATGAACTGTTGAAGAATTTATTTGTGAAAAAGGTGTATGATAAAATAGACTGCCAAATGCAGACTTTCTTCAAAATTCGCTCAGATTTGAAGAAAAATTAATGGTTGCCATGACCAATATCTTCGGTAGAATTCAGACAGGATAAGAATATACATTCAGATATGGTATGGGCATAGATTATGAAAATCAACTCACATATTCAAAACAGAGATGAGCTCTTTAAATTGCCGCATGCTAATATAAACATTTGTGTGTCTGATTTATATCCAATTCCTTTTCTTATTCTATTTTTCCCCTCAACTATGTATAATCTTTTAGAGTTAATATGTGGAGTTTTGTTACGTTTTGCATTGCCTTCACATATATTTTCGTTTCTTCTCTTTTTATTTCGGAAAGCATTACCTCCAGTCTATTATGGCGGGAAGGCGCTATTTATCAGATGAAGAATACCCTTGTATGGTTAATAAACCATTTACTAATGTGCAGGTGAGAGTGATAATTCGTTTTCTAAAGAGTTAGAAAGTGATACTTCTCCGTGCTTCGAGATTTACCACATTCAGTCTTCATTTTAAATTTTGTTACTTCTTACTGTAAATAGTCTTTACTGTGTTGTTTTATTACTTTTAAACTTTAATGATGGATTTTATCAATTAAAACTTTGGAATAATTCAAATAGCGCTTCCGAAAATTATTTTCCAAGATACGCAATTTTTTAAGTATATTTTCAAGTAAAATAAAGGAAAAAACGTTATTAAGTCCTAATTTTAACATATATAAGAGCTCAAGTAATAATCTAAAATGATGCCAAAAATTACAATGCTAAAAGTGAAACATTTTTTCCCCCGATTTTTTTTTTGAAAATTAGGCTTAGCGATGCAAAACCTGCGTCCTGTACAGTGACTGCCTTCGATTCCCTTTCGTCCTGCATGAGCATCTTAAACAAAGGTGCGCCGTTGCGAAAGGGTTAAGTAGGATTAAATTTTTTTATAATTTGTTATGCTGCCCTATTGATTGATACTTGCCTTTAATTGTGATACCATGATTGTATGTAATCTATTAACCAGCATAATAGCATTGAAGTCTCTTTTACCTACAAATCCAATGTTTCTTTCCTTATCAGTTTAGCACTTTGTCCTATTTTTAATTAGTTTGGATTATCTTAGCATCTACATTGCTACTTTGGGACTAAGTTCGAAAGCTGACAATTTTTGATGAATGTAGGCTTTTTCGAGCCAGGTATTTTGGTGTTTTAGCAAAAGCAAGAAATTAGGTTATAGTGCCGTAAGAATGCTTCATCTTTAAAGGCTATCCACAAATCAACCCAATTTTTGGTTTCTTTATGATGTGAAGTGCTGCTCAGAGAGGTAATGTGTCATTAATGTAAATATGTAATAATCAGAAGGAGCAATGTCTAGTGAATACAGTGGGAGGAGGTAAACTTCTCATTTGAGTGTTTCCGAGTAGTTTTTGACCAGCAGCACAGCATGTGAATGAGCCTTATCATGCAGGCGAATAATTGTCATGTCTGGAGTAGTAGTAAGTGCATTTTTCTTTGAGTGCTTGGCTCGATCCCATCAACTGCGTTTGGTAGAGAGCCACAGCAATGGTAACTCATAATACATAAGACCAAGCTGATCCCACCATATACATAACATGATATATATATATATATATTTTCATGAACATTTAGCTTGGCTGTCGATATTAAAACATGGCCAGGTCGCTCCTACGATTTCATCTTCTTAGCGGATCTATTTTTCATCACCAGTGACTATACAATGCAAAAAACCCCTTTTGTTTATACATTTATATCTAGCAAGCAGAATTTCATGTGTAAAAAACCGGCATTCAATGTTTCTTGGCTTCAGGCATATGGAACACAAATTTCCTTGCTTTTGAGCCAATGCCAATGATTATAAACAAAGTGAAATTGCCTGTTGTGTCACTCCTAATGTGTGTCCTCCTAAGTATAAGTTACATTCGGTATGAATCTTCCTCCAATAATTCTTCTAATTCCACGTCTTCATGCACTTTCATCCTTCTGCTCTGTTCTTTGTCTTCTTCATCAAATTCACTGTTTTAAAACTTCTGAAACCACTCACGACAACTTCTTCCAGTTAAAGCAGCCTCACCATATGCTTCTACAAGTAACTGATGCATTTCAGCTGCAGATTTCTTCAAATTAAAGAAGTAAATAAAAAAATTCCCTCAAATAACGATCATTCGGTTCAAAACGCAACATTTTCGCATGAAAACCATATATGATACCTATATAAAATTGCTATTATTTCAAGGTTATATTGTTAGCAGATATCCAACCTTACAATACAAAGTTTACATCAGACAATTTTAACCACAACTTACTGGTAGTACATTTTTTTTTTTTCAAATGGCAGAGACTTATTTGTACTTCCAATATAAATAGAAGCGTATCTAATAAATTTTAAAATTATCTTTCATCTATTATTAAATGATCTGATAAAATCTTTTCTTCCTGCTTCCTTTGCAGTTTTGTAACATTGGGGATGAAATAAAAACACCTATAGGAAATTATAATCAGAATTGATTAGCTAACGAACTGGCACTAACAAAGGTGTATATGACATAGCATTTTTTTAAAATTAAGCTCAATATAGATGTAAAAATTTACTGATTTCTCATCATGATCTTCTTCCTCATTACTTCTTAACTTTGGTTATCTTCCCATTTTGTTCATCTATTACTATATTATACCATACTATAATAATATAAACTGCTTTGTTATTTTGCCAGTTTTAAGCAGATTATTTACATACCATGAATGAAATTATACTCAAATACAAAAGGACAGTTCAAATAAATATGCATCAAATTACTATTACTACAAAACAATGATAAGATGGAGAAAAAAATATAATTAAGCTTTGTTTTATCTTACTTTTCAGCATCTTAAAGTAATTCTTAGTAAACTTTCAATAAATAATTTTGTGTTTTGGTGGGGGGTCTTTTTTTAATGTTGTTTCTCTTTCTAAGAGAGAATCTAACTTAAAAAAAAAAAAAAAAAAAAAAAAAAAAAAAAAAAAAAGTGATCACTCAAGTGACCAACAAAAAAGAATATCATGTTACTTTATAATAAACTGTTCATATTCAGAATTCCGATGACAATTAATACTTTTGTCTATAATTTGTAGCAATAAAAATTTAGCACGGTTTAACTTAGTTATTCCAGAATACATGTTTATTTTGTGTTATTGCCAAGATAATCAATAATCTGCAATGCCATGATTTTTCCAGTTCTGGATTGATGTTAGTTTTGATTGGTTTTCCAGTGTATCTTTTAAGGCATTTTTCATATAATAAGCACATTTAAAAAGTGATCATTTCTAAATCTAATGGCTGCAGATCTATGATTTCAGTATTAGTATGGTTTGGCTCATTATGAAAGAATAAGAGACCTTAACATATGCCTTTTATGTAAGCCAATATGTCTGCGGGAAAACAACAAAAAGTAAAAAAAAAGGTTGTTAACCAGACAGTCACTAAATTCACTGTTGCGAATTGGGCATTTTTCATGGAATTCTGAAATACTGTCATATGAATCCTGTCTTCAGTTTCTTGAACTTGTGGGTTCAATAACAAGATGGCATTATTATTTTGCCACTTGCATTCATACGAAACAAAGCTGATTTCTGATACTGATTTCAGTTCTTTTTAACTACCTAGGAATTATTCCTTTCATATATTAATGGATAGTTCATTTTCATATATATCTAGTTATTTTAATAAGTATACAGACACAGCAGCTTTTAAGCCTGCTGTGACCATTGTTTAATTGCTCTTTAATTCTTTTCGCCCTTCTGGTATATAACAGACACAGCTAGTGTAACATCAAATGCTATAAAAACATTATAAAAACCATATGAGAAAGTAAACTCACAGTGCTCGGTGAAACTCGAGGAGGAACAGCAGGAGGAACACCTAGAAAATGTGGTACAGTCTTACCTAAAATTGTAATGATAAAATATGACACAAATTTTGTAATTTATCATATTAACAGATAATTTTAAATTCCCAAAGCCTTTTCAAAGATTCTGCATCAGACTTAATATAAACATTTGAATGCAGTTTACAAATGCATTTAACGCTGCTTAAGATATAATGTTACGCTTCAGATAAGAAAGATTTATCTGACAGTAAAAACATTAACAAATTTTCAACAACCATAAAATACCTGCAGAGAAGTGACAAATACACACACATAACACTCAAATACCGAAATGCATGAATGAGATCGGAAAATGCACATTTTTAGGTAGTATCTGCAATGCAGGAAAGGAAAGTATAAATAAATAAAAAAAATCAGTTGCCAAGCAATTTTGCCTGTCTTGTGAAACAGATTCTATTGTGATTATGGTAAGTCAATGGATTATTATACTTCTAATGTAGAATGATATTTGGAACTTGAGGAATGGACACTCAATTTCTGAAAGTTGTTCAGACATCCGATATTCCTCAAACCCTGGTGTCACATGATTAGCCAGATTACCTAGATGCTTGAAGAAAGGTTTTACTAACGATCGTGGGCAGCCTTGTGGTCAATTATGGCTACTAACTATTGCTCAGCAATATCTAGAACTGTCCATGCTAAGAAGTAAACAATAACGAGCAAATAACATCCACAGACAACTTGGAAGGTTGCAGATGCATATCTACGAATGAAGTTGGTGCAATGAAATTTAATGTTACTGGAATATGGCTTCAAAAGTTCTAGCAAAGTGCCTCACATGGACTTACAAATGCATTAATTAATTTCAAGAAGGCAAGAAAAAAGTGGCTTATTCCAATGAGTCAGAGTATCTAGTTATTATGAGATAATGGTCAGATTTGAATGTGGTACAGACTCCAAAATGCTATAGACAAAAGCTGTCAACAGTTAAGCATATTTTAAGTGGTAGAGGCTCTATAATTATGTGGTATGTGTTTTTTGAATTATGGGATTTCTTAGGATTGATTGGATCAAGAATGTTCAAGACTGGTATAAAAAGTATTTTGTACAATTCTACAAATGGTCTGGCAGCCACATCTGCCAGATATAAACTCAAAGGTACGATATGATCAAAATATCTTTTTGTGCATAAGATCCCGCACCTATAACAACCAAGTAACTGCAAGTGACCCCTATCCAGAATACATGACTTAGTCTCTTTCTAAGAGACTTTAACGACTCATACAATCTATGCTAAGCTGCCCTTCATCAGGTTAAAGATAGTCTCAAACAACACAGAATATGTATCTTATGATATTTAGCATGAGTGTGTGTACACACACATTCATACATAAAAATAGACACAAATTGCAAATTATATCTATGTTTATGAAAAGTTTTGACAGATTTGTGGTAAGAAGAGAAGCAGCAAGCAGGTGAGGTAATTATAAAATGAGGCTGCACACCTTCTAAAACGCAACCACATGGGAAGAGGTTGACACTGGAATGCGGTTGAGTAGCCACCATTTGTTTTATCTTTCTGTCTGCTTTTTAGCCTTGGTTATAAAGGACACTAAATCTCAAATTCCTTGTGAAATTTAAAAAGTCACTAACGGAATGTTTTCATATGTTAAAGGAGTGTTTGGTGATAAAGCTATGTCACGTGCACGAGTTTTTGAATGGCACAAATGGTTTTCAGAATGTCAGGAAGAGGTTGAAGATGATAAACATCTTGGTCTATCTGTGAGGTAAAGAACTGAAGAAAACACTCAGAAAATTCGTGAAACTTTGCAGAAAGAGCGGTGTCTGAGCATTTGGAACATTTGGATAACAGACACTGTGAACATTAACGAAGAGACAGTAAGACAAATTTTACATGATGAATTAAAACATGAAAAAAGTTTGTGCAAAAATGGTTTTTCTCTCAGGAACAAAAAGACAGTCGCAAGAACATTTGCTGTGATGTCATGAAACGACTCAATGAAGAACCGGACTTGCTCACCCATGTCACTACATGTGAAGAAACATGGATCTTCCAATACAACCCAGAAACAAAGTGTCAATCGATGTACTGGAAAACTCCGTCACCAAGAATGAAAAAAGCACAAATGAGCAAGTCAAAATTGAAAGCAGTACTGATAGTTTTTTCAACGTAGGGTGCTATCATGACTGAACGGGTCAAACAGTTGGTCAGAAATACTAAAAAAAAAAAAAAAAAAAAAAAAAAAAAAAAAAAAATTTCTAATCAATTTAGGGAAAGAGTAAGGGGAGAAAAATAGATTTGTGGAAGAACGACACATGGATTCTGCATCATGACAATGCACTAGCCCACAACACCTTTGTCAGCGAAACAATTTTTTGTGGACAAGTGCATTCCTTTGTTCGAATATCCTCCACATTCACCAGATCGGGCTCCTTGTGACATTTACCTGTTTCCTAAAATGCAAAGTGAATCAGTCTGTTGAAGAGATAAAAGCAGAAACGGCAGAGTCGTTGAAAAGGGTAACCCACAGCATTGCTTTGAACAATGGAAGGAATGTACACAGTGGTGTATAGATAGGGAAGGGGAGTAAGTTGAAGAGGATAAAAGTTAGTTGTAACTTTGTTTCAGTAAATCACATTTCTGAAACTAGTCTCGTTATTCAATTGCCACACCTCATATCTAGGTCAAGGTGCAGAAAGCAAGTGCTTAGTTATTCACTATGCCAGCTTATTAAGTGAAAGGTTTCAGTTCAGGAAACTTTTACAATTTTTAGAATAGAGGGGAAGTACTGAAATTAAAATGAAGAATTAAGGAGTTATTGCTAATTTAAATTCTAATTTTTATGTTTTGAATCTTACACATGTATATATATATAAATGCAGTGGAAAGAAGTGATGTTTAAATTTGACTTAAAATAGAAATTAACAGGATTTAACTATAAGCTGTTTAAAAGTAAAAAAGTACTATAAACTGGAAATCTCCGATGCCTAAATGAAAAGATTTAATTAAAAGACTGAATTTTATGAACAAAAATATTCTATTAAAAAAAAAAAAAAAAAAAAAAAAAAAAAAAAGGGGGGGGGACTCAAATGAGATATAAATCATTTACAACAAAACACAATAAAAAGAGGTATGTTTATACACTAACAGTCAATTGTTATGGATGGATGACATTGGCCGTGATAGCATCAAAGACAAGCATAAGTACAGGATACAGTAAGACCGAATTTGTGCACATGCAACTTTTGGATCACCAAAGTTGTTCGCCACGTGATAACGCTGATTAGAGATATAAAGGATTTGATGCATACTGACCATTGTTGTTCAAAAACAAAATTTAAATGGAAAGAATCAATTGATGAACTTGCAATTTTTAGGATGTCTTCCCTAGATTACTCATATGATTTTACACATGGCCATATTACTGGTATGATTGAAGAAGGGCAAAAAATAACAGATGTTACTAGGGAGTTTGAAGTCAACCACTGTGTTGTTTCAAGGCTTTAGAAATCAGATTATTTCAAACAAATGGAATGTATAGCAAGTATTACACGGGACATCATGTTTGCAGTAGAAAGCATGCAGAAGATAGGTTTATAGTGCTATCGACAAAAAGAAACTGGTGCAGCACAGCTACTAAGGTAGCAAATTAGTCACTTTCTGCTACTGGTAAGTGAATCACCTGAAAAACTGTAGGTAGACATTCGCATCAAGGAGGACTATATGTCCACTATCCTGTAGTGTGCATTCCACTGCCTTTAGCTATCACTGTTTTCACCCGTATGCAGTGGTGTTGTCAGCATCACAATTGGAGGGAAGATGACTGGTTTTGTGTACTATTGTGCAGGTTTAACCTGTCATTGCATTGTACATGCCAGTTGATCTGATGTGTGAGTCGCACTGCTTATAGTCCAGCACACATAAAAGAAAGGGACCAATATCCTACATGTAGTATGAATGGTATGGGGCTGGAATCATGATCAACAGCCATACATTGCTCTATATGCTTTCAGCTGGGATATGGCTGCCAACAACACATTAATGTTGTTCTGCTGCTTCATATTTGCATGTTCCATGGTGCTGTTGGTGATAAATTTGTTTTCATGGATAACATGTCATTGTTCAGGAGTCTCAAGAAAGTGACAATATCCAACAGCTTGTATGACATACATGTTCTTCAGATATGAATCCAATTGAAAATGTTTGGGATACTTTAGGGAGGAATCTTGCAGGTGTACGATGTCCTCTAATAAACAAGGACATTCTCATCCGGGCATCAACAGAGGAATAGTATAAATTACCTCAACAGCTGCTGGATAATATTGCGCAAAGCATGACACAATGTGTGGAATCTTGCACTGCGCTGCATGGTGGCCATATCCCGTACTGACATCTTATGCCAGAATGCCTGTGGAAGGTAACTACATTTTTTGCACTTCTATGTATTCAGCACAAAATTTTGTACCTTGAGCACTTTTCAAAGCCTGAATTTCAGAGCACAACAAATTATCTTTACTGTTATGTCTCAGTATTCTGGCATTATTTTACTTCACTTGGCATCCAACCACAGTTATTTTTTAACATGCTATATTACCGTCTGTTCTTAGCAACTGTTTACCAGTGTATCAGCACACTATTAACAAATGATAGCTATTTCAATATGTTAACATTTACTAAGAAATTCAAGCTAAGGGGAAGAGAAATTAAAATTTAATATGGAATTTTATTCAGTTACTATTTAGCTACTATTCAGTTTATACTGTTACTAGGCAAGGGGTTTTCATTAATGAGAATTTTGTGAACTCAAAATTTGATTTGTCCATCTAATTATTGATTGAAAGGAAACAGCATTTTTAGTTGGCTTAGTGAGAAAGAACTGTGCAGAAACTACATTTTTAATTCACATTTTTCTACCTCTGTATTTTGTAGGTAACGAAAAATTTTCTAATTATGCTTTTTAAAAAACTCATTTATATTTCTGCAATAATTATAACGAATAATACTATAAATACATGGTATTATAAGTCAGAAAAGATTATTCACACAGTCACTTATTATTTCAATTTTGAACATTTAAATAGAGTCCAATGATACATAGTTAACCCATGCCTGATTTCAATAATAACTATGAAATTTAACTATTGGGATTGTTTAAAAATTCATAGAATAATATAAAACATCAAATCTTTTATAAATAAACAATAAAATTGAATGAATCATATACCTAATTTATTTAAATCTAACGAGGAACTTCTGATATGATTATGTTTAGGCCTTGGTGGCGGAGGAGGTGGTGGCTCTTTTTTTGGACCTTGAGGAAGACTAACAACAGGTTGAGAAGATGTGAAGTTGCTTGCTTTAGAAGCATCACTAGTACCAGAAAACGAACTGGAAATATTGAAATAAAGTAATACTTATAAAAGAAAATATATTCTATAAAAAGTTAAAAAAAAAAAATGTTACCTTCTTAAATAATCTGAAATGGCATAAGTTTGATTATCTAATTACAGTTTTATTAAATCTTTCTTGTAATATTTTCATGATTTGAATTTAAAAGAATACATTTAGAAAATTTTGTTTATTTGCAGAAAGTATATGCAAAGTAATATCATCTTTATTTGAAATAACTGGTAAGAGCTATTCAGGATAACCTTTTTATAATAATAGGAAATAGCTAATTTCTGAAAATATCATTTTGACATACTTTCTATAAAATAAGCATGCAAATCCTCCCCTGTAACCTTTTTATTTTAGATCTCAAAATAATGTGTTTCTATAATTATGGAGGAGAAGGATTCTAAACTTCCATTTCATTACATTTATAATTTTTTATAGTATTAACATTCAGTGTATGAAATTTGAAAAAAGAATAATGAAAACTAATCATTATATAGTTAAATACTTTTAAGTAATCACATTAATAATAAATCAACTTATAAAAGCATGAAATAACCATTATTCATAATTAAGTTTCAGTGAAACAGAACTTTATTGCATACTAATAATCAAATATATTAATATGTTCCCTTCTTTTTAAAATTAAATGGTAAAACTCTTGAGCATTCATCAAACATCATTATGTGCTACATCCATGTGTATTGTTGTCATGACTTTTCTAACCTAATCAGAACAGGCCCATGAATTTTATCATGGCAACGAAGTACAAGCTTGTGTTTGTCATTGACAAAAGCCTAGAGCACTATACAGGTGAGAGTCTTACTGCCCCAATTTGAAGGAGAGCATCCTGAAGAACAAGTTCAAGTCTCTCACCCCTCTATCCCCTATGGTTACAGCCGGAAACATCGCGGAGAAAACAACGCAAGGCGAAAACGTCGTGCTACAAAACATCGCAGTTCTAAAACATCGTCGTCGAAAATAAAGTGGTTAAAAAACTTCGCGGTTTAAAAACATCGTCGTCGAAAATATTGTGGTAATAAATAAAGTATATACAAATCATCGCATGACGATAACATCGCAGACATGCTTTTTTCAGGCTTTAATAACTGTAAATGGATATTCCCGTAATGATTTGTGAGCGCAAGATGGAAAGAAGGATAATTTTTACTTTCATATTTTTTATTAAACTAATAAATTTTAGCTGAAAAAGTAAGAAGGAGACTTAAGCATAGAAAATTAATGCAACTTATAGCACTTAATAGAATTTTAAACAAATATTATAGTAGTAACAAGTAATATATTATAGTAACAAGTAATATAAAGTTAATAACAAAGGTCATTAATAAATCATTTTTATAAAGTTTTTACTGGTAATTTTTTATGAAAAGTATTATCTAAAAAAGATTAGAAAAAGGAAGGTAAGTAACTGCATGACCTTATTTATAAAAAAATTGCTAAGCTAATTTTGAGATTATTTTCTTCATTTTTGTTAGTCTAATACTCTTATAGCGAAAATTATTTCTTGTTTTGTTTCAGTTTATTCTTAAAATGTCATTAAAATTTCCATGCACAGCGTGCAGTCAGTTACTTGAATGACGATTTGTTAGTTATGAAGAAAGTCAGCAGCTATGCATAATATTTCAGTAGGATTTGGATATATTAGATTATGCCAAAGCACACTACGGCTATCTGCTTAAGGGGTGGGATTCCTTTGTGGAGTACATTCTCAGGAACTGGTTCATATGCACATTATACTTTAGGAAAATCACGAAAATCTTCCTGCAGCTTTTTTTTTTTTTTTTTTTTGTTGTTGTTGTTTAGAAATAATGTATACTTGCAGTGAACATTCTTGGTGACTATCTCCCTCTAAGACGAACAGTGTTTTTGAGAATAAACATTGGTTTTTAATCATTATGCAAGTTCACCACATTCTCTCAAGATTAAACAAATATGGAATTTTGAGTAGTCGCTTTAAATAGGATTGCTCACTTTAAAAGTATTATTTAATTTTTTATATACATTTTATTCGAAAATTTTGTAGTTACTTGTTGAACTTACAGTGGCCAACTTTCTAAGACAATTTTGAATGTTTTCTTCGGTATTTCTTAATTTTCAGAATATCTTAAATTATGCTCGCCAAAAATCTGTAGCGAAATTAAAATTAATATTTCTGAGTGAGATTCTATTTTGTAGCGATTCTTTGCCTAGCAACTTTGAAGCGACTAATTTTTCTTGTAGATTTTTAATAAAGATAAAATTTAGTAAATAAAAACTTAATCGAATTTCCTTTATATAGATTTCAAGGATAAAAACTGTACATATTTTATATTGTCTTTTGTCTTTTTTTCACTGACTGAAACGTTTCAAGTACAATTTCTTTTGTATTTATATGACAAATTTTTTGGAATAAGAAAATATAACATTTTTATGAATCATATGAATACATATTTATGAATCATATATGCTTTAGAAACATATGATTTTGAATATCAATCGTAATTAATTTTAAAATCCGGGTTCGCTTCGTGCATGATTATTTTTTAATTAAAGTATCCAGAAAGAAATTGTTTAAAAAAATGAAAGTATTTAGTGCATCTAGCCATTAAACTATTGGAAAAAGATATCTTGAAAGAAGGCATGTTAAGTTCCATAGTTTATGTTTTAAATCAAACAAAATTATCTTTTTGTTTTAATAATTTTACAAATCTTATTTTTTTTTATCTGTAATTTAACTGTAGTTTTAGTTTCTCAGTTCACAATAATAAGCAAAGATATACTGTGAAATAGCTAAGTCAATGAGAGGTGTGTTATTAGGTTAAATGTAGAATTCAGTTTATCTATGTGCACCACTGTAAACAACAAATATACTAATTGCTTATCTGGATTTCTTTACCTCAACGTTAAACATTTTCTTCCTCTTACACTCCACAGGGAGGGAAAAAAAGCTTCTCTATCTCTTTTCCCAGCCATAAAAACTCTACTACGATGTTCATTATTGCATCTGCATGTAACAAAAAGAACAAAATGTTGCATATAAATTTATAACTTCATGGAGTTACCCATTTTTATACTTTGATATGTGTTCTTTTTAATATTCACGTAAGGCTTAATTAGCATGTTGGCTATGATTCATACTATATACTTGTATAAAATCGAATCACATGCTTTTTGAGTGCTGGATTGCTCAAAAAAAACTTTTTTTCGTTTTATTGTTAAAATATGACTAATTTTTATATAAAGTGTAGTGGTGATGGTGCGTGTTAAGAGGACTACATATAGTCCTTATTCGTTTTGTATATTGTCCGTATTTACTAGTCCTTATTATATTACATATTATAGTAATGCATTTTAGTAATATTTACGAATTCGCATTGATACTGTGACACAATCATTTTGCTTCTTGAAGGCAACTTTTGCAATAAACTTCGAATGTTTCAGTTTCATCATAAAATGAATTGATACGAAAAATATGATTTAAATTTTGTGCTCTAATTTTGCCATTAAACTTGGACCAAAAGTTTTGGGAAATCCTCTTGTTTGAATTTGAAAACTTTGAATACTATACATATAAAAGTAGAAAAATAGTAGTTTCTCTAAATTGTTTTGAATTTCTTTTAAATGAATGTCAAATGCTTCTAGGATTAATATATTCCTAATTGGTAATGGGGTAAGAATTGCAATAAAATTATAGCTCATAGGAAATGTAGAATTATAAAACAATCAGATAATTATGAATTTTCTCAACTGTATTCAGAATTCTTGAATCTTTTTCTTAGACATTGAGTCATCTATGATTGTTTCACTAATGACCTAGCTAACTACAGTGTTATCAAATGAAGTCTTACAAAAATGCATATTATGATGCTTCAAAATCATTTAAACAGTATAGATAATGGATAACTGGTTACATCTTTGTGTAAGGTCTTTCTGATTTGTATATAAAAAATATTTGAGTTATATTTATTTTATTGACAAATGTTTAGAAAGCAGACGTAAAAACTCTGATTGACTTAAATGAATGTAGGTCTTTAAATTTACGACTTAAACGAATGTAGGTTTTTATACTGAAAATAGTGCTAGTTTCATAACTCCCTACAATTAAATATAATATGAATTTCTTGCATATCTATGAATTTGCACATTTGAAAGACACACACATAATTTGCATTTTTGATAGTTCCAGTATCAATGAACAGCATAAATTCAGAAATTTTAATGAAGAAGATACAGTTTCTACTTTTTCTACAATATTCAATTAATTTATTTACAGTTATGTATAGAGTTTGAGCTTAATTTCAGGAGAGGGAGACTAGAAATGGTTAACTTTTTGTTTACTCGTTTACCTGTTGTAAAAGTATCTGGAAGTGGCATTCGAAGGGTAATTTGAAATTTTTACTTAACTTTAATATCTTCTACAATTTAAACAAAATGAAGTAATGTGGTATGCATTATAGAAGAAGATATGATTTTACTAAATAATTACAATATTATTTTTAAAAAAAAACTGGTGTAAATATCTTATTTTTCTTTCATGTCTTTCTTTTTTCTTTTGCTTTCCCCCCCCCATTAAATTACTAGACAAATTGCGTACTTTTGACCGATCTTACTAAAAAAGGTTTGGTTCCTGGAGTAATCATCCAAATAATTTTAAAAATCATTTAAAATGTGAAAAAGGTTGGATAGGAGGTAGTCAGCTGAGGAGCATTTGATATTTTCGTTTGAAAAGTAAAAAAAATATATATCTTTTCTCATTTTAGATCTTTTTTTTTTTTTTTTTTTTTAACACGAACCAACCTTATTCTCATATAAAAAAAAAATAAAGCTTTGAAAACTACAGAGATCTCAATAAGTTCAATCTCAGTGCAGATTTCAAAAGTTCTTTTGATGCCCTTCAAGTTCCATAACCGACATAAAAAATTCTTGTCAAAGGCATCTCTCGTGAATAAAAAATACATTTTTATTTTAATTAAAAAGAATAAATATTTTAGTTAAATAATAGTTTTACTTTTAATAAACATTAAGTTAAATTAAATTTAAATAATTCTCTTGCGCATTGATTTAAGTAATGAAATTTGAATTTAAGAAACATTCTCTATTCGTAAAAAGTAAATTTAAAGTTAATTAAATTTTAAATTATGAAATTTAATTGTAAACAAATGAATGATTAATTATTGCTGCGAACTAATCTGCAATATCATTTAAATTCTGAATACATGGATGATACGAAACACGAATTGAATAATTGAAGAGTTAGGTTTGGAGGCAACTTCCCTTGATAAGTTTGTCTCCTGCCTGCTCAACAATTATTCACTTATACATTTTAAAATTTTTTTACGATTAAAAAAATTTTTTTGGAATTATATATTATTCATGGATTTTGATACTTTCACGTAATTTTATATATGCTCTCAGAATTTAAATGATATTGTAGATTAGTTCGCAGCAATAATTAATCATTTATTTGTTTGCAATTAAATTTCATAATTTAAAACTTTAATTAACTTTAAATTTGCTTTTTACGAATAGAGAATGTTTGTTAAAGTTTTATTTTAATTAAATATGTTTACTTTTTGTTTATTTGCATTTTTTCTATTGATTAGTTCTTAAATGTTAATGTTTTTTAAAGAAATCGAAAGTTGAAAGTTGATTAAAGAAATCGATATATTAATATATGAATATAATATATGAATCATATGCTGAAAAATTCTTTCCCTATGCTATTTACATAATCAAATGGGTTTTTTTATACTGAAATAAGTACTGGATATATACTGAAAAGTTTTTTTACATTCATATACTGAAAAAGTATTTCCTTATGCTATTTATATAGTGAAAAATGTTTCCTTATTGTGAAATAAATACTGAATGTATACTGAAATGTGTTTTATATTCTTCCCTAATGCTATTCATATGCTAACTTGTTAGTTTTGAAAGACTCTTTTTAACTTTCCCTCTATATTAATTTCCAAACTTAAGCTGAAACTTCGTTTGCAACATTAAACCACAGTATTTTATAAAAGAAGACTTCCCATCATAAGTCATCTATTTTATGAAGCAGTATAGAGATTGTTTGTTGAATTACATAATCACCTTGTATTAATGTTTATTTCTCAGATCAAATTATATCCAAAAGTGCATCCTGAAAAATTCGTTTACAATAGACTGTGTTACTTTTAGATTTTGCAGTGCGTCAGGAAATAATATTTTAAATCTATATTTTAATCAAAAGTTGCCATTCTTAATATTATATTATTTTATTCAACACAGTGCTTTATAATCCACTCTTTTACTATTTTTAAGTAATTATAAAAATTTATAGTTGTTATTGAATAATGAAAAATATTTATGGCACCATTATAAAATTTAGTGTAGATATGTCAGCCTTGTTCAAAATTTGTAGCTTAAAAATAAACAATAATTTTACTTTCCTTCATTTCGTAAAAAAGGTGATATCATGTCAAAACTTTGCAAATAATGTACCATCTATTAATGCAGTTATAAAAAATTAATTAAATAATAAATACTTCATTGTATACATTTAAAAAATTAGGAGCGCGAGAAAACTGTAAACATAGCAGAAATTTCCGCCTAAGTTAGAACTAATATTTAATATTGCTTCATAAATATTTTCGAATAAGCTATACATGGAAAACCATAAGCATATTTTGAGAATGTATTTTTGTAGCAAAAGACCGATTGTTATAGTGTTTACCCATTGCAGAAAACATGAAACTCTCTAAAATATCCTTTCATATTTATCAAATAAAACTTCCATTTAATATCATTCTATATTTAGCAAATGAAAAACTGCTGTTAAGGATTTTTAACGTTAAATTTACATTACTGTCATATAATAAATTATTTTTAAAATTAGGTTATATAATCAGTATTGATCAAAATTGAAATGACTAGGGATTTAAAAGCAAATTATCTTACCTCAGTTTTCAAATTTTCCCCCTTTTAAATATGCAGAAATACGCAATAAAAATACCGTATTGTCTCAAAACATAATGGTGTCATATATGAAAAAGTTTTTTCTTTAAGAATCTTTCAGAAAGACAAAGGGCTTACATATAAGATGTGCCACGTATATAAGTTTGATATATCAAGTAAGTTACAAGAAAAGCCATTAAAAGTCTAATCTTATTAGTATTTGAGATAAAATTAAGTAAATATATCTCCCATTGCTTTACGAGTTAAAACTACTCTTAAACGTATTCTTTAATATTAAGCTGCCTGATCAGGATGATTTCAGTAAGGAATAGAAATTGAAAATTTCGTTTATATGCATCCACAATGGTATTAAATTTACTGAATTTTATTAAATATAGATGCTTATTGAGCTAAAAAATTTATCCCTGTAAACAAATACTCTAAGTCCTATTTTCTCACACAAACATGAATTAATGAAAAATGAAACGAAATAAAATTTTAATTGATAGGAATTTTTCAAAAATATCGTTATTGTTAATACCAAATCTCCAATAAATTTAGCTTCGCATACCGTTTTCAGTTAATAAATGATATTTAAACGAACAAGGCATCATCATTTGTCGTTCATATAATTTCTCTGATGAAATAAAATTTGAGTTATACTACCAAAGAGTGTATACCAAAGAGGCTTAATTAAAAAAATTATATGGAGTAAAATATCATTCACATATATTCATGAAAGCTAGATAATTGTAAATATCAACTCTCTAAGAGCATAAAAAGTTCGCCTCCTATATTTTTCAGAAAATATAATGTAATACGGACTCATGTTAAAGACTGTGTAGTAATAAAAACATGTATAATTATATCAGACATTAACATCCTCATTAATTAATGTATAAAAAATTTACACCTGCAGTTGAAAATTGTAGGCTATTCCCCTTAAATAGTCTAAAATAGGCCGATCATTATACTCATTTACAATCTTTGAATTCTGAGAGATGTATCTCTGTAAACTTTTCTACTTACTGTGGATGGTGACCTGCAATGTATTGTTCAATTTTTATAGAATTAAATTTTGTTCCTTTTTAAGCAATCAATAAATTTCCAGATGTTGGATGGCATACGTTCATAAGTTCGTTGAATCTGCGATTGCCATCCTTCAACCGCATTATGTCCTTGGAACTTATCTTTTACAGCATCATAACAGTTCCAAAGAGGAATGTCAAACACTGGTCTGCGCGTTGTCCACGACGAGTAAATTACCAATCCATGTGTCTCAAAAAATTTATGATTGGCTGAATGATGTTCATATTATTTACAAAATAAGTAGATGATATTAATGTTCAAATGCTTCAATGACATTGAAGTAGGAACGAAAGCCAAAGCTGCAAGTTGAGAGATTTCCAAAACGAAATTTCGGATCAGTTTCATATTTACTTTGCAAACCTGCAGATGAAATCTTTCTATACACACACTGACTTAAATGAAAAAAAAATCCTCTCTGAATGATATTCGGAAAGGAATTTTTAAAGGCAATTTATGGCAGCCTTTTCAAAATCAGTCATTACAGTTTTGGGCTGCAGATTCGGTTTCAAAGATTTATCACCCGTAAACACTCTATTGTATGTTTCTTCGCGTTTGTTTGGCATTAATACATACATGTGAAGGATAACATTATCATATTTAACACCATGGATTGTATAAATCTGACTGATGAAAAGCGGTGGTGTTGCTTTAAAAGTTCCATCAGCAAACCAGTTCGGACATTCAGCCATGAAGTCCAGATTTCTGAGGGTCGAAAAAATTAGAATTCTGTCTGTCTGCACTCCACGTCCATACAGCAAAAATTTCTCTTCTTTAGTGTTTTTGAAAACTGTTCTGGGATTACTAATTCTCAGACATCTAGGATATGCAATGGCATTTTCCGTGTCGAGCATATCTGATAATTTTTAAATATTTTCCACTGGTGGATATGCCCGAAAACAGCACAAGGAAGACCAATGTACCAACTGCTGCTAAGAATGTGTCGATTTTTGCGTTGTTACCGCACGCTCTTTAATTGAACTCATATTCTTCGCTGTAATTTGCAGCATTTGGAGGATCCCGTGAGATTTTCAAGAATGATTTATCATCTGAGTGGAATTAGCCCTTACACTTACAAGTAAAATACTCTACAATTTCCAAATACTTTTCTCAGCACTAGCACGTTAAAATTATAGATGTATCCTTTCACCATAAGTTGTTTACGGTTTTGGCTGATGATATAGTGTAACGGCATGTTGGCTTCTCTGACGAAAAGAGTTAAGTTTCCGAGTTTCAGGTACAACTAAGACTTGGGCATCAGACATACATTATTTACCTAATTGTCAAACAATGGTTTTCTCGAGGCAGGAGGCCACCTGTTCCCCTTCAGGCTCAAATGACGTTTTACAGTTGTTAAGTAAAAATAAGCAGGTGTTCCATTATTGAACACAGTTAGTTATGTTATTAGTAGTTGAACACCAGGAAAATTTCTGTAACTGAAAAATGTCAGCTAAGCAATTACAATTTGATTTATTTTTAGTGTATCTGGAATCATTTGTAGTTTAAAACTATGAGCAGTTTTTGTATATAGTGTGGAACAGATTAAAAATTTAATAAAAATTAAATCGAGGTTCCTTTAGGTAACGAATATTAGCATCTTTATGAGAAAAGCTAAACAGAGTTTTGAATCGGAAT